CACAGAGTTCTCTGCCTGGTTGCTGGGTGAGCGTGGCCATAGTGGCCATGGCCTAGTCAGCACCCTGCATCCAGAGCCTGGGAAGGGTGTTTTTGCCCTCCCCGGGTTCCTTGAGCCTCCAGGAGGGTGAAAACAGCTTCCCCAGGCTCCGGAGGTCCTCTGTAGGTAGGAAACGGGCCCATTTCCTGCTTTCCCAAACTTCTGGTAGGCCCATTTTTCACCCTTCCCAAGGCTCCATGCTTGCCCTGCACTTACCTGTATCCAAAATGGGCTGCGTGGGGACTCCTGGGAGGGGTGAGGTGGGGTGGGTGGGGCCAGCCAGGAATGGGATTTGGGGGTTCTCCAAACTGCACAGAAACTTAGCTAGAGGTTCTCCCGAACTCCTGCGAACCCCCAGCAGCCCACCCCTGATTAATTCTGAACTAGAGAGAGAGAGAGAGAGAGAGAGAGAGAGAGAGAGAGAGAGAGAGAGAGAGAGAGAGAGAGAGAGAGAGAGAGAGAAAGAAAGAAAGAAAGAAAGAAAGAAAGAAAGAAAGAAAGAAAGAAAGAAAGAAAGCAAGCTCCTGAAATCCCTAAAGGGCAAATGAATGAAGTGCTAAATGCAAAAATACCCAAAGGGAAATGCATTAAGAAGAAATAAGTGATCATTAAAAGGTACCATATTCTCAACGGATAAAAGGAAAACCTTCAGGGAATTAGGTCCAGCAGGAAACGCTCTCTTCTCTTAAGGAAACATTTCTTTAAAGCTTAGATCTTTCCCTTGCTTATATTGTACAAGACAAGGATAATTAATTAAGAAAATAAATAGCATTGAGGAAGAGCATATCCTGATTAAATGCTTTGCAGCTAAAATCCGTTCGACAAGTTATTTCCTAATGGAAATTATGCAGTGAAGGATGTAGCTACCTAAAAAACTAGTTTATTATTATTATTTTTTCAAAATAACTGCTCTTAAAATGCTCTGAAGGACCTGGAAGGGATGAAGGTATAAAACGAAATGACAAGAATTGGAAATCTAAGCCTCTAATGAAGAAGCTAGAATATATTTGAAGTTGTATGATATGAATTTTGTCGTGTTCACACCAGTTAATATCATCTGTTTCGAAGAGTTTTCTCCAGGAACTGTCCTTCTTTCTAAAGCAAATTTTCTCCTTTTTAAAGTGGGAAATCTAAAGAATTTGTAAAAAAAAAATGGCTTGGAAAAATAAAAGCACACTGTTTTAGGAGACAAACGATTTAAGAATTCAAGACTACATTGAATGAAGACTCAAGATTTCTGTGAGTAACTGAAAAAATGTTTTGGTTGAAGAATGGAGAAATACCATCTTTCAACCTACAGATTTTGCTCCTGAGTTTCCGTGGCTCTTACTTGCATCTTGGACAGATTCACTGAAATCTAAAATCAACATCTCCAACATCTTCTATTTTCAACAACAACAACAACAATTCAAAAACCAAAAGAGAAACTTTGTTGCTTGTTATTTAAGATTGACTATTTTGAGGAAAAGACTTAGGGAACTTGACTTAGGATACATAATCTGTTCACTGGAAGATTTATTGAAGATTAGAAAGAAGAAATTAAATGGAACAATGAAAACTGAACTAATAAACGTGGCAACAAAAGAAGGGTGTGGCAATAGAAGAAGGACATGATGATACCGTATATGGAATAGCTTCAGAATTAACTTTGTAGAACTCATAACTTTGATGACATTGAAATGGAAAAGATACATATCTGGACAGATTGGAGAAAGGAATAATGGAATATACTATGTAACAAGACAACAAAATATTATATTTTCATTTAAATGAATGTAACGGTTTCTGGGTGGCTGAATAATGCTAGGAGATACTTTTTTTTTTTTTCTTTTCCTTCTCTATGCTCTCTCTCTATTTCTTTCTTTTAGTATCTTTCTCTTTGTTTCTTTTCCCCTTTCTATTTTCTTTTTTAACCAATTTGACTTCTTTTGTTATATTTCTACTCTTCCTTTTTTCTTTTCCTTTTTTAGTGTTGCCTTATTTTTTAGTATTTTATTGTAATTATTATTATTATTGCTATTACTCTCTCCTTTTTTCTATTATTATTTTCATATAAATATATAAACAATTTGATTAAGAAATAAGAGCATAAATGATTGAAGAAAAACATGATTTTTGGATGTTCTAATGCCTTTTTTAAACTTTGAATTTTTAACTAGCACTACCTACAGATTTAATAATCTGGAAGAAAATGTTTACCTTTAAAGGTGTTGTTTAATTATTTATAAAATTAAGAACCATAAAAATTGATTTTAAAGTGTTTCGAAATGTTTCCTATTGAAAATAAGAAATAAGCATGGAATGAGAGAAAACAAGAGAGAATAGGAGATGAGATATTTATTGAAATATACTTTTATCTTAAATTGGTAAGAGATATGGAGGAGAATAGATTGGAAACAATATTGGTAATACATTTCAAAGTAATTTGGAGCTAAACAACTGAATAAGAGATAAATGTTATGAATTAGTTAAATAAATGAATTTAGGAGTGGAGGAAAGCATGTGCTGGAAAACAGTTAAAGCAAAACTGTGAACTAGCCAAAAATAAAAAGTTAGGAGTGGAGGAGACTATACCTGGGGATCAATTGAAATAAAGTTGTGAACCAGTTAAAAATAGGGGTAGGAGTGGAGGAAAGCATTGCTAGAAGGCAACTACTTGAGTTGTGAACCAGTTTTATTATAGATTTAGGAGGAGTTAAGGAAAAGGTTGGTGTGCAGTTAAAATTATACTGTGAACCAGCTAAAATAATTAAGGTAAGGAGTGGAGGAAAGCATTGCTGGGAAGCAGCTGATTAAGATGCGAACCAGCTAAAAATAAATTTAGGAGGAAGTGGAAGAGATTTTACTGGAGAATAGTAGCTAAACTGTGAACCAGTTTAAATAAATACAGACAGGAGTATTGGAAAATACAGCTGGGAATTAGATACTTAAACTATGAACCAGTTAAAAATTAGTTCAATAAAATATGAGAATAAACTTGAAGTAAAAAAAATAAAGTATTGTGGAAGTAACAAACTATAGAAGGAAATGTTGATTGTTTATGAAATGACTTTAAGAGAGGAGGAAAATACTTTTTGTTAAGATTATGGATATTAGATGTCATTTAAGAGAAGTAAAATATAGATTTGAGGTAATGGGTTTTAGGATTGAGGAATATATATGAAATATTGATTGTTAAAATGATGAAGATTTAGAACGGTGTTTAATGTTTAGAATTTTGGGTGTAATAGTAGAATTATAAATGTTTAAAATAAGATTTTCTTTCTTTCTTTTTTTTAAGACGTAAATGGATAAAATTTTGAACAAAATTGATTGAGGGAATGTGAATAATTGTACTCATTTTGGATGGATTAATTTCCATCCATGTTTCTTATCTTGCTTTCTGATGCTTTGGGGAAAAAAAACCTCTTTTCTTTGTGGCATCCCTTCAAATATTGCTATCATGTTACCCCCACATCTTTCTTTTCTCTAAACTAGCCACACCCAATTCCTGCAATCGTTCTTCATAAGTTTTAGTCTCCAGGCCTTTAATCATCTTAGTTGCTCTTCTCCGCACTTTTTCCAAAGCCTCAATATCTTTTTTGTAACGTGGTGACCAAAACTGGAGGCAACATTCCAGGTGTGGTTTTACTAAAGTTTTATAAAGCGGCATTTTTGATTCTGTGCCTCTGTTTATCCAACCAGGGATTGTAGTAGCTTTTTTTGGGTACTGTTGCACACGGCTGGCTCATATTTAAATGATCATCCACTAGCACTCCAGAGTCCCTCTCACAGTTACTCTTTGTAAGCCAAATCTGAACTTGTAACCTTGGTTTTTCCTGCCCAGATGTAAAACCTTGTGTCAGGGTTCCAAGTAACACCCCCCCCAATGAAAGAATACTCCGAGACTTGAGTTTCCTCAAAGTTCCATTTTATTAGAGGTATCATATTGGCACATCTGGGAAAACCCAAATCTGAAAGTGTCCATGTTTTCCCTACCCCAAAGAAAGTTCAAGTCCCTGCCCACCACCCACATGTCCATCACATGGTCCAATCAAGCACCATCCGAAACTGGAAATTTCTCTCAGTCACCTCATCACAGCTGCAGGGCAAGGTGGTCTTGACTCTCTGAGAAAAAAATGTTATTTTGACTATATATCACCCATACTCTGTGCAACCCTCCCTCCCAGTTTCCCACAGTAGAAAATGTGGCAGGCCTGAAGGCCCAAATGTAAAAGATGGCTTCCAGATCTGACCAGTCTAAACCGGTAGAATCCCAACCCCTGTAACTAGGTAACATGTTCCGTGCTAATCAGTGACTAGCACGGATGATATTACCTAGTTAGGCTAATGAAACTTCTGCAAGAAAACAAGCTATGGGAATGGAAATCCTCCTGAGACCTGGATGGCCCAAAACCTTGCTTTTCTCCACATTAAATTTCACCTTGTTGGATATGTCCTACTGTTCAACTCTGTCAAGATCTTTTTGGATCCCAAGCTTGTTTTCTGGGCACAAGAAAAGAAAAGGATCAGAAAGAATCAGTAAGCAAGTAGTTATGGAAAATCAGCTAGAATCACGAAAAACAGATTGAACTGGGTGAGCCCTGATACGCCTCCTCTTAAAAGATTTGGTGCTCATGCCTATGAGTTAATGCATAGGAAACCATTCTTGTAGAGTTTGTAGAATTAAAAGTCTTCCAATCAACATTGTATAGCAATAAATGTAACAACAAGCATCGTTTGATTAACTGGATTGTCAATAATCATGCGCTGATGGCATCCAGTTCTCTTTTTATTTATTTGAATTTGAATTTATGTCCACCCCAGCCAAACAATCTCAAGATGACTTACATGGTGCCTGTGTTTACAAGTTAATTCCTATAAAATGTATGTATGGAATTTGAAGTCCTCTAATCAATGTTGTATGGCAATGCCAGTAGAGATTCTCTCTACGAGATTCCAGAAATGTTCACAGAACCAGTTTAGGATGATCTCCTCGACAAGTTTACAAGGGCAATTTTTATGTCCTTGTTCCTCAGTGTATAGATAATGGGATTCAAAAGTGGAGTCAGTGAGGTATAAAAGATAGCCACCACTCCATCCAGTGGATCCTGAGATCCTGGTCTCAGATAGATGAAGACAAGGGGCACATAGTAGGTCACCACCACAGTTATATGAGCAGTACAGGTAGAGAAAGCCCTTTTACGACCTTGGGCACTGCGGATCTTCAGGATGGTGGAGACAATGTACATGTAGGAAGTCAAAATCAGAAGGAAGCACATGGTGGCCACAAGACCGACATCCACCATGGTTACCATCTCATTGAGGGTTGTGTCAGCAGAGACCAGCTTCAACACAGCGGGGATATCACAGAAGATATAGTTGACCCGGTTTTCCCGACCAAAGGGCAAGCGAAAAACAAGGGCTGTCTCCATTATGGAGTGAAGGCATCCTCCAACCCAGGTGCCCATGGCCAGGAAGAGACACGTCCTATGATTCATGAGGTTGCCATAATGGAGTGGTTTGCAAATAGCTAGAAAGCGATCGTAGGCCATCAACGTATAAAGGAAGCATTCTGTGCAACCCAAAAAGTGGAGAAAGAAGAGTTGACAGACACAGCCTCCAAAGGATATGATCCTCCCACCTTCTAAAAATCCCACAATGACCTTGGGAACAATCACGGTGGAGACTGTCATGTCCAGAAAAGACAAATGGCAAAGGAACCAGTACATGGGCTTGTGGAGATGGGGATTAGATACAACAACCAACAGGATCAGAAGATTGCCAAATAGTGTCATTAAATAGATGAGTAGGAAGAAGATAAGTAAAGGTTCCTTCACACTATCGGGATATGGAAAGCCAACAAGGATAAACCCATTCAATAAAGTTTGATTCTTAGCTTCCATCTGTGCAACCAAAAAATAAATAAATAAAAATCAAGGGTATAATCAATCATGGAAAGAGGGCAAACAATAAGCTTAAAGTCTCTATACCACTCTCTTTGTTCCTTACTGATCCTCTCAGCCTTGGACATTTCCACAAAAGGCTGCTCAAATGCCTTGTGGGAAGCTTGAAGCTTCCCTATCCACCTCCTTTTGCAGCTGCATATAAAGATAGAGTAGAATATTAGAGTAATAATAGGCCTTGGAGGGCTTCTAGTCCAACCCCCTGCTTAGGCAGGAAACCCTACACCACTTCAGACAAATGGTTATCCAACATCTTCTTAAAAACTTCCAGTGTTGGAGCATTCACAACTTCTGGAGGCAAGTTGTTCCACCGATTAATTGTTCTAACTGCCAGAAAATTTCTCCTTAGTTCTAGGTTGCTTCTCTCCTTGATTAGTTTCCACCCATTGCTTCTTGTCCTGCCTTCAGGTGCTCTGGAGAATAGCTTGACTCCCTCGTCTTTGTGGCAGCCCCTGAGATATTGGAACACTGATGTCATGTCTCCCTATGTCCTTCTTTTCACTAAACTAGACGTACCCAGTTCCTGCAACCGTTCTTCATATGTTTTAGCCTCCAGTCCCCTAATCATCTTTGTTATTCTTCTCTGCATTCTTTCTAGAGTCTCCACTATTTTTTTACATCGTGATGACCAAAAAGTATTCCAAGTGTGGCCTTACCAAGGCATTATAAAGTGGTAGTAACACTTCACGTGATCTTGATTCTATCCCTCTGTTTATGCAGCCTAGAACTGTGTTGGCTTTTTTGGCAGCTGCTGCACACGGCTGGCTCATATTTAAATGCTTTTCTACTAGGACTCCAAGATGACATTATCTTACCTTAAAAACGTATATCAGGCAATGTTGAAGGAGTAACTTCTGAATTAGACGGCTCCAGATTGGTTATGATCTTAACTTCTTTTCAGATGTCTTCGGTCACATGTTGAGATGCTTGTGGACACTTTCCCAAACCCCTTCCTTCTAGCCCACTCAGATGGAGACTTTGCCGCTAATGCCAACTGTAATCAGAGCACAACTGAGGATGAAGAGAAGTTTATTGCAGGCAGCTTGATAAAGGCTTGCATTTTGTCTTCTCTCCAAGAGTCTGAGAGACACTGCTCAAGGTAGTGGTAGAAGGAGGAAATGGTTCATGCAATCCGTCCATTGTCTTAATAAGGAGGAAGCTGAGCTCTCCTTTTTAAACTCCAATCTTATTCTCTTTTCTACTGCCTTTAAAACAGTGTTACTGTCTATGCTCCCATGTTGTTCCTCTCTCCAAGTCCCACTTGCATTTCCATCACCAAGGACCTGGTCTTCTTAATTCAGCGTCTTTGGATGTCTCATTAAACACCACCGCACCTCCTAATGAGTCAGTTTGAGACCGATTTAGAAAGTGGAGTGAGCAGATTTCAGAAAACAAACATTGTGGTGGAATCAGCTCTGGGATTATTAATGAATAGAACAGGACAACTAGAGATAGTTTGCTTCCAGATGCAATTCAAGATGCTGGTTTTGACATTTAAAGCTCTACATGGCACAGGGCCAGATTAGTTGAGGGACCTCCTCTCCCCAGTTATTTCTCCCCAGTCCATGCATCCGCCCGGCCTTCCACGCATGTGTTTTGCTGGTATGTGCGCCTTCCGCGCGTGCACCTGGCCTCAAAAACATGCCTAAATAGGATGGCATAGAGCCGGGGTAGATGGGCAGGGCCACCCGTGATTTCCACTACCGGTTTGGGCGAATCGATCCAAACCAGCTGAACACCACTCTGCTTACCCATCCACTCAGATCCGGAAGGAGAGGCGCGTTGGGAGTCCTGTCTATTAAGAACTTACATCTGATGGGACACAGGAGGAGAGCCTTTTCTGCCATGGCACCCATCCTTTGGAGCGGCAAACCCTCTGAGGTGTAGGAGAAGTTCAGGCAGAGTCTGATGGTGGAGTCAAGAGAAGAATCAGACTAGTGTCATTATGTTCTCAGAAAGGGTCTAAGTTCATTCCCTTTCGGATTCCAGTAACTCTTATCTCTAAGGGGACTCGGTGGCTCAGTGGCTAAGATGCCAAGCTTGTCGATCGAAAGGTCAGCAGTTCAGCAGTTCGAATCCCTAGTGCCTCATAACAGGGTGAGCTCCCGTTACTTGTCCCAGCTGCTGCCAACCTAGCAGTTCGAAAGCACATAACAAATGCAAGTAGAAAAATAAGGACCACCTTTGGTGGGAAGGTAACAGAGTTCTGTGCGCCTTTGGCATTTAGTCATGCCGGCCACATGACCATGGAGACGTCTTCAGACAGCGCTGGCTCTTCGGCTTTGAAACGAAGATGAGCACCGCCCCCTAGAGTCGGGAATGACTAGCACGCATGTGTGAGGGGAACTTTTACCTTTAGCTTTAACTCTTATCTGGTGCCAATTAAGTGCTGTCAGGTGACTAGATTCTCAAGTATAGACATGGACAATAAATCAACTTGACTGGAACTTAATGTGTGGTCCTGATTCTTTATGCCTGACATCTTTTCTGTATGTCAAATAGTTGACTGCAGACCGGCGTCCTTTTTTATGTTATTCCATGAAACATGACCAGGTGAATATATAGTTTGGTTTCAGGAGAACCCCCGTTTGTAGAGCTGATGGATCACCACGTGTTGATCTTCTTAACCTTTCTGCTGCAACAGCTTCTCCTTGATACATCTTGAAGCCCAGATCCCAGAGAGGCCATGGCAGGGGGCATAGAACAAAAGCCAAGATGATGGTTGCAACGGTGTGATTGAAAAGGCAAAGTTTGATTGCACAATTACAACTACTATCCTCACTTTTTAAAATTACCCCTTCCCCTTTCTGATGACTGATGACTCAAAGAGCTGCACATGGTCCATAGGACTCAACTTTTGAAGACCAGATTTAAGGCATTAAATTTAAGGGGGAGTGACTATTCCACGGGGCAGGCCTCACAACTCAAAAGGTGATTTATTCATCCTGCTTGAATGTGTTATGTTATTTATTTATTCTCGTATGCATTTGCATTTTATTGGACTGGAAGCTACTTTGAGGATTCATTTTATCTAGAAAAGAGGCACATACAGCAAGCTAATGAATTCATTTTAGAATTGCAATGTGCATCAGGCATAAATCACACAACAGCAATAGCACTTAGACTTAAATTCCACTTCATAGTGCTTTACAGCACTCTCTAAGGCAGTTTACAGAATCGGCATATTGCCCCCAACAATCGGAGTCATCATTTTACTAATCTCAGAAGGATGAAAGATTGACTCAATCTTGAGCCGGTCAAGATCAAACTCCTGGCTGTGGGCAGAGTTAGTCTGCAATAATGCATTGTAACCCCGGTGCCACCAGGGCTCTTCCAAAGTCCCATTTTCAATTACCCACTCACCCTATTTTTGCCCCTGGACTCTATTGTTGTTGTTGTTAGTTGCAAAGTCATGTCTGACCCATTGCGACCCCATGGACAATGTTCCTCCAGGCTTTCCTGTCCTCTACCATCCTCTGGAGTCCATTTAACCTCATGCCTACTGCTTCAGTGACTCCATCCAGCCACCTCGTTCTCTGTCATCACCTTCTTTTTTTGCCCTCAATCTTTCCCAACATTAGGCTCTTCTTCAGTGAGTCCTTCCTTCTCATTAGGTGGCCAAAGTATTTGAGTTTCATCTTCAGAACCTGGCCCCTGGATTCTAATCCACTTTAAATGACTAATTTTGGGGAACTAAAACAACTGCACACACTTCTATAAACCATCAGTTTTCCTTAATGAATTTCATGTGCAGCACAGCACATTCTGATCTTCATAAATGCTTCATGGACTAATTCCAGGGGTGGGTCTTCAAAAATTTTAGCACAGAGTTCTCTGCCTGGTTGCTGGGTGAGCGTGGCCATAGTGGCCATGGCCTAGTCAGCACCCTGCATCCAGAGCCTGGGAAGGGTGTTTTTGCCCTCCCCGGGTTCCTTGAGCCTCCAGGAGGGTGAAAACAGCTTCCCCAGGCTCCGGAGGTCCTCTGTAGGTAGGAAACGGGCCCATTTCCTGCTTTCCCAAACTTCTGGTAGGCCCATTTTTCACCCTCCCCAAGGCTCTATGCTTGCCCTGCACTTACCTGTATCCAAAATGGGCTGCGTGGGGACTCCTGGGAGGGGTGAGGTGGGGTGGGTGGGGCCAGCCAGGAATGGGATTTGGGGGTTCTCCAAACTGCACAGAAACTTAGCTAGAGGTTCTCCCGAACTCCTGCGAACCCCCAGCAGCCCACCCCTGATTAATTCTGAACTAAGAGAGAGAGAGAGAGAGAGAGAGAGAGAGAGAGAGAGAGAGAGAGAGAGAGAGAGAGAAAGAAAGAAAGAAAGAAAGCTCCTGAAATCCCTAAAGGGCAAATGAATGAAGTGCTAAATGCAAAAATACCCAAAGGGAAATGCATTAAGAAGAAATAAGTGATCATTAAAAGGTACCATATTCTCAACTGATAAAAGGAAAACCTTCAGGGAATTAGGTCCAGCAGGAAAGGCTCTCTTCTCTTAAGGAAACATTTCTTTAAAGCTTAGATCTTTCCCTTGCTTATATTGATCAAGACAAGGATAATTAATTAAGAAAATAAATAGCATTGAGGAAGAGCATGTCCTGATTAAATGCTTTGCAGCTAAAATCCGTTCGCCAAGTTTTCTCCTAATGGAAATTATGCAGTGAAGGATGTAGCTACCTAAAAAACTAGTTTATTATTATTATTTTTCAAAATAACTGCTCTTAAAATGCTCTGAAGGACCTGGAAGGGATGAAGGTATAAAACGGAATGACAAGAATTGGAAATCTAAGCCTCTAATGAAGAAACTAGAATATATTTGAAGTTGTATGATATGAATTTTGTCGTGTTCACACCAGTTAATATCATCTGTTTCGAAGAGTTTTCTCCAGGAACTGTCCTTCTTTCTAAGGCAAATTTTCTCCTTTTTAAAGTGGGAAATCTAAAGAATTTGTAAAAAAAAAATGGCTTGGAAAAATAAAAG